CCTTGAAGCTAATCACCTTTGATAAAAACCAAAGCTTGTAAAACTGGTATTCGTACAGACTTGTTTGCATGGTCAAGCTTTTGAGAGACTAGAGTTCCAGTTTGAAAGCTGTGTGCTCGTTCCACCCACACAAAACAGTTGGTCGAAAAGCTTTAAACTGGAACTGTAAAAAAATCGAGCACTTGAAAACTATTGGCTTACTGGCTCATAACGACAGCAATAATAGCTTGCTTTTTCCTACGGCTAAGAATTTCTTGGCTACACTACATCAACTTTGGGGATGGCTTTTCTGACGTTTTTCTCGTAATTTCTGCTGAAACGAGCTCACCAGCTCAATATACAGGGTGTCCCAAAAGTATGTATACACTGCTTGATCGTTAATTTCTCCTTTCCCTAGAAATCTTTTGCCTGCCTTCAGTTACCATTTTGTAGAGCAGGCTCTTCAACTTAGATTTACAGCATGGAGCGAATCAACTATCTTCATTCACTACTGTAGGGTTACGGTAAGAACTTCAAGAAGGGGCTTAAGCCATAGGTCCTATTCAGCCTCAGAAAATAAACCAAACAATCTGTAAACTCTTACAGTAGGCTAGTTAAAGTTGCTTAAACCAAATATGAGCTTTGCATTTGACCGCGATGCTGTGTTCATGACTTATGCCCCGTAAACCGTGATAGCTGTTTATAATATGCTCCCTAAAATTGCAGTCACAACCTTTGAAAAGCTTTACAAACTCCTAGAAAGTTGATTAATAAAATCAGCGCACGTAAAATTCCTGTTACAGCACTTTTCAGAATTTTTGGAAACTTTTTTTGAAACACAGTTAATCCACATCGATGCTGTGAGTCAAAAGTTCTTACCATAATCCTACAATACCGAGGAGCGTTCGGTTTATACTGTAAATCTAAGTTGAAGCTAGCTCTACAAAATGGTACTTTAAGGTAGGTAAAAGACTCCTCGGGAAGAGAGATCAAACAGTGTATACATACTTTTGGAACACCCTGTATAAAATTTGTATCGATAGTAGATTCGACTGAAATTTCATTCGTATACATTACATTTAGCTCAAAAATCTATGAAAACCTCAAGTAGGTTTTTGGGTTAACATGTTGACGAATGTGTGCATACGCTCGTATGCAAGCCCTGACTCCCATTTAGCACTTTCGTGCACCAGTTCAGTTTTTTTATGTATAAACAAAAGTTCTTAGGTAACTTCTAGTTTCCAGGGAACTTTGTGAGATTTCGACCTCTCTTTTCTCGGCAACAAATTAGCTTATGTATGATTAGTCTTCCAGAAAGCGACTCTGCTCCGCTCTATGCTCCCTCCTGATTTGTTTTCTTTTTTGACTTACCAACTCAAAAAATCTACCTCTAGTAATGCCTCTATTTTTATATATCGTAACTCTCTCATATTATCTGTTTTTGCTTAAATGTTCTCGTGAGTGATTATCATTTCATTGGAGTATGGCCAGCTAGCTTTTCATCTGGGCTCGCTGGCCCCCAAACATGGGGTATCGTTTTCGAAAGACGTATAAAATTTAGGATCATATGTTAGAATAGTAATCTTCTTCGTCAGGAGTCACTTACAAGGGAAGGAACACCTTTTGCAGTAATATCCACACCAATAGACGCGACAATAGACATTATCTGCTGTGCGACTCTCTGAGTAGTTATGGAATTTTCCATAACAATACCACGAGATCTAGACCGTCAAAATCGTCAGTATCCAAGGCTCTGATATATCGGATACAGTTTTCTTAGGCTTAAGATAAAGCTTTATCTTATTTGTAGAATTTTTCGTAGGTCATAAGTGAATGTTTTAACGATATTGGTAAGTCCTGTCATCAAAACAGTGCAAGATTTGGTGGCAAAAAATGTACATAACTTCTCTCGGAAGAGCGCACAGCAGATAACGAAAGCTTTGGGATCAGCGCTTCAAGGTGCATTTAACGGTGTAGGCTTCATTCCAAAGCGCCACGGTCACCAAGTGTCCTTCCCTTGTTAGATTTCGACTTTGTAGTAAAGGTGTAAACATCTATGAGCTAATAAATAATACAGGGGCCTAACTTCATAAAGAATACAGGGCATCGGTAGCTGTTTAGGAGCCTAAACCGCAGATTTAGATGTTTAGTCCATTTTGATGTGATCCAAAATAGCTCGATCGTCAGCGTGTTGAAAGAGTTGAGAAGGAAGATTGAAGTAGGTATGTTGGGTTTTGAACTTGATGAGGAAGGTTGACTTCTCAATCCCGTATCGGTACCTGCCCATCAACGCATCTTTTTGTGTGATGTATTGAAAACTACGACTTCAATATGTGATCATATTGCCTTTCTCAGATTAGAACTCCATTATTTTTGTCAAATACTGAAGGCACACATACTTATCCAACTTGCTGCAAGATACAGGCCAGTAAAATTGTGAGGATGGCCGACCACGCGCGACACGCACGCACTTCCTACAACCGCATTTTCTTGGTGTCTCTACTCGAATGGTTAATCTGCTTACTTATGATGGTATTCAGACTCTGGAAGTGAGTGAGCTGAGCGTTGAGGTTATGCCTTTTTGTGAGGCTTTTCATGCTCCTGTAGGCGCAAAGACCGCAGTCAAACCCCTCGTCACGGTTTTAGGAATGACCTAGACTTGTTTTCATCAAATTTCACAAACTTTTTACTTCTATATAGATAATAATGTAATATGACATTCTAGAGCTTGGAGCTGGAAATGGTATTCTGCTATATAATAAAATTAATAAAATCTAATAAAATGTAGAATGCAACTTCAAGTTTAATTTGAGTGCGTTCCTGAACAGCAGTTTTTCATGATTTATCTTTGTCCCCTTCCCATAGTTACAACAGCAAAAAAGAGCGTTGTGCATTACATAGGGCCCTTATGTCGTAAAGTTTTGATGAAAGATTTGTCCATTGTCCTAGACTGAGGCTTTGAATGTAGTCAATTATGATCGTATGAGATTTATTTTCTTGCCAAATACGGATATTTGCCGTGCCTTGAGAAGGGCGGGAAGAGGAGAGGAGCCAAAAAACTTTAGTTGAAAGCTTTTAACCTAGTCACGCACTTTTGGAAGTTTTTCAAAAGGGCTGCGCGATTCATTTTGTTAATTTAAAATTAAAAGCGGGGCACTTGCATGATTATTCATGTGGTATTATTTGGTAGCTGATTTCTGCTACCTTCTCCCTGATGAATATTTGGGTGTCCCATTTTTACCGTTTTTACTATAACCGTCGTCTCTTTGTATTTTCCCTTCAATTGATGTGGCTTGGGTAACTGTTCGATAGGGCAAACCAAGCTCTACAAGATGGCTGTGAAGAATCTGCCTAAACAGTAATTCACCGGAAGTTTTGAGCTGAAATTTGATAGCAGTCGAAAACGAACTTTTCCTTCAAAAATCGTATCTGCCCCAAAATGTCTCATTTTCGCATTTATCCTAGCGTATGCTTGACACATCGCACACTCAACTGTGCTATTTCCGTATTTTTTCCATGGCTGGAGATAAAGAAAAAATTGAGTCAAATGGCAAACTCCGCCCTAGATATTGTGAGAGGCTCCTGCGCACGTGTCATGTAGCCCATACATACAAAAGTACGACCACGTTTTTGTAAAGTTTAAAGAGGCCCAATTTTCGAGAAATGCTGATGTATAGTGTAAAAACGGTAAAAAATTATGCGACACCGTAATAGTTAGATTTTTTTGAATACGAATAAAGTATGGAATTCCTTATGGAGGGTTCACGTGCAATCACTTACGTGCAACAACAACATATATAGTCAAATTTTATAAGTGCTAATAACTACAAAATTTTTTTATGGAGGTCTTACATACAATCAACAACAAAATTCCTAGTTAAATTTTCTTGAATGTAAAACAATAAAATCTTTAATCGAGGTCCCACATACAATTATCTACGTGCAACAACAGAAATCCGCATAATTATTAGACATTTCATTTCATTTCATTTCCATCACTTCCAATCGGTTTCTATCATTGGCAAAATCGTCAACACTTTTTTCATAACCATTGTTTCAAGTAGCCCATACTAGGAGCATAATAAACTTGTTGGCGTGTTCTCTTGCGCTTTCCAAGACAAAATTCGTTAAGAGACAAGTTCAAATATTCGAAGAAATAAATACGACCTTTCCTCATTAGTGAGATTTCCGGGGAAGGTCGTACTCCTATGCTGCTTCCTTCTACTGGAAAAAATGAAACGGAAATTAGATACTACTGCCTAGTTTTCTTGTTGCACTCAACGGCTTTCTTAAATTTCTTCCCTTCGTCCTTGCACGTTTTCCGTTCTTTTCTCCACATTTCATGCCTAATTTCCCTCAAATTTGATTTCCCGCGCTGATTTCATGGCAGATGTTCTTTTTTCGTCGTCACTCAGCAATGCTTGCGAAATTTCGAAGAAACAGCATATGTGAAACACGCAAATCCGTTTGGGCAGCTGCTGAGCAGCAAATCGGTCGACGTCAGCGAAATGTAGATGATTTGTGTGCTGCAGGTGATCGACAAGCGCTCAACGAGCGCACATTCCATGCCGCGAGCGCTCCTCCCTCACGCGCGCGTTCGCGGCCGCTTGTCAGTTGGCCGCCGGGTATCCGATTGCTGCTGCTCAAGTGCTCCCTTGAGGGAATTTTCAAGTTCTTAGCTATTGAGTGCGATTTGGCCGCCTCCTCTCCTAAACACGTTTCCCATTACAATTTTTATATTTCAATCACTTCGCACCTTGGTGGAGTCACTTGCAATAAATTGTGCGATGCAGAATACGCGCGCCACTTCACGACTATAATGTTGAACAATGGGAATGAACCTTTTAAAGTGCATTAACCTTTGAAATGATTGTTTAGCCCTTATTGTACCTGTCTAGCCCGTGAATGAAGGAAAACTAGGAAAATTCTTGAGGTAAAAAAATAAGAAAATGAAGAAGACCTAAAAAGCCGCTCGTGTTTCGATGCTATCAAGTTATAAATAAATCAGCTGTACAAATTCTTCAACATAGAGTCCAGTCTTGGACAAGGGCGCATAAGAACTCAGGCGAGCGGTGCGCAAGTGAACTTTGGTTGTAGGCGTCTACATGTGCTCCAGCGATAATAAGTGCTCTGCCATTGCCTTCGCAACCGCTTCGTGACGGTAGACCATCCGTTATCGAAGTCTGAATTTTCGAATTTACGCCAAAAAAGCTAAATTGTCCGACGAACTCCGTTGTTCATCATTCCAATATCACGATTTATTTTTTCTAACCAATAAAACTTCCTACTGATCAAACGTTTCTGCATAATTATGATTTTTAGACTTTTTGCTCGAAATTTTACAATTTCAAGTCCATTATCATGCAGTCAGAAATGTATTTATTTGCAGCAAAAAATTATATTCTGCATTAAAACTCTCATTTTCGGCATAGCTTTTTACAATTTTTGTTGGACTTTTGGTCCAACCTGGTAGCAATGCTGCGTAAAAAGGTCACCTATTTCATGTTTGAAAGAAAAAGCAATTGCACATGGAATAATCAGAGCATAGCCTTGAGAAAGTGTAGTGCACTCACACAAACAATCATATTTGCGCGTAGGAAGCAGTGCATGTCTTCAAGAAAGCGCATAAAGGTCTCTCAATGACATTTTACGAAATTTCTTTGTTTTTAAGTGTCGTTCTTTTTTTTGCGAAAAGAGAAGCGATAAATTGAAAATTACTACATTTCAGTGATTGAGCGTAGAGTTGTCAAGATGAAAGTCAAAAAAATTGTAGTTTTGTAGGTAAGCTGGATCAACGTAAAAAGGAAGGACTGTATGACAGAATTGAATGCATTTGTCTCAATTTTGTCCTTCTCAAACTCACTTATCACGAAATTTGCCTGCGACTTGCCCGAATGTTTTTTTTTAGTTCCATGTCTAATTTTCCTCAAAGCGTTATTTGTTCTCATCTCCTTCAGACGTCTCCCGTAGCTGTGAAAAGAGAAAGTGATCTGACTTCATTCCATAGCTCTTTTATTTTTACACTTAAGTGCAGGCTTTTGTATTGTTGTGCACTCGTTTCCATGTTGCAAAAAAAACAAGCACACGAATATTTCCGAAAGTGCGAGTGCTACATCATCTTGAGTGGCACTGTCTCTATAAGTTGTAATGTTCTCACAACCTATGCATACAAACGTTTTAATGAAGCAGTGCTTTGAAAACTTTCGCAAGGTTTTGGACGATAGTAGACTTTTCCTGTAAGTTTCCCATGTTTGATGGTGAAACATATAACCAGGAGCGAAAAAAGTGGCTCCGAAACTGCCTCCACCAGCCGCTCCGGCTAATTCTGCCTCCACCCCTCCCTCTCCTGCTGGTAACCTGTAACAAAATTATAATAAGGGTCTTTCCTAGTAGAATCTGCGAAGTATATGACTTGAAAAGCCAACCTTGCTTAAGCGCTCCAGCTTTTCCTTTCGCGGAAGTTCGGTAAAGCAGCTTTCCAGAGTCCGCGTGCCGTCAGTGCCAGCTCCGTGCCAGCGCCGTGAAGGAACCCACGTGGATGCGTTCCGGGCCACTGAACAGTGTCGGTACGTCTCCGAAGTTGGCACGGACAACTCTGCACGCAGCCTGACAATTGGCATCCGAATGGAAGCAGATTATTCCATGGAGGGATAAAGCCTGATGTCCTGCTTACCTTAGCATCGCTTGTTTCTATAACAGGCTGATAAAAATTCAACACATGTTACATGAATCTGTTGCACATCTGTTTTCAGAACAATTGAAAACATGTGGCCAGGCAGTATCTTCATTTCATGACCACAATCTCGATTTCAGTTATTTTTTTGAGTCGAAAAAGGACTTTTTTCAAACTCTTGAGAGAAATGCAGCTTAAGCGGCTCGTGATGTGCTTTCAAAGGGTAGGGTGTTGGCTGTACAGCGCGTAGGTTATTCGAGACATCAACTTATTCAACCTGAATCTTGATTTTCGAGGGAACTTTGCAATATTCAAGTATCATGTATCCTTGGCAAAATCTCAAGCGATTCCCGATTCGTACTAGGAATGATCTTTATGAAATCCATCCTTGAGCAAGATGGATTTCAAAGAATCTAGAATAAAAAGAAAAGATCCATCATCCTATCTTCGATCTTCCAGATGTTTCAATCTATCTTCCTTATCTCGAAACAATTTATCAAAAGAGTTTATGGTCGAAATCAATCTTATATATAAAGCTGAATGTCTGTTTGTATGTATGTTTGTATGTATGTATGTCTGTCTGTACGTATGTTCCGAATAGAAAATTCCATTTCTGAACCGATCCGGACCAAACTTGGCACACATACACTACGGGCCCCGGCGGGTGTCATAGGCTACTTTTCGTCATCGATCGACATCGATTTTATCGATTTTTATCGATTTTTTTGCTGAGTTCACCTACGGGGCTGAGAGTTGGCACAGGGGGGTAATCGAGCATGGGGATTCCGAATACAATATTGGTTTTCAGGATTATCGATTACTTTTATCGATTTTATCGATTTTTTGCAAAGTTTGAGCTACGGGGCTGGGAGTTGGCACAGGGGGGTAATCGAGCATGGGGATTCCGAATACAATATTGGTTTTCAGGATTATCGATTACTTTTATCGATTTTATCGATTTTTTTGCAAAGTTTGAGCTACGAGGCTGGGAGTTGGCACAGGGGGGTAATCGAGCATGGGGATTCCGAATACAATATTGGTTTTCAGGATTATCGATTACTTTTATCGATTTTATCGATTTTTTTGCAAAGTTTGAGCTACGGGGCTGGGAGTTCGCACAGGGGGGTAATCGAGCATGCTGATCATCCCCAAGGGGGGTGATCAGCATGCTCGATTACACCCCTGTGCCAAATTCCAGCCCCCTAGCTCAAATTTTCAAAAAATCGATAAAATCGATAAAAGTAATGGACGATCTTGAAAACTAATATTGTGTTCGTAATCTGCATGCTCGATTACCCCCTGTGCAAACTCCCAGCCCGCAGGTCAAACTTTACAAAAAAATCGATAAAATCGATAAAAGTAATGGACGATCCCGAAAACTAATATTGTGTTCGTAATCGCATGCTCGATTACCCCCCTGTGCAAAATCCCAGCCTCGCATGTCAAAATTTACAAAAAATCGATAAAATCAGTAAAAGTAATAGATAATTCTGAAAACTAATATTGTATTCGGAATCCCCATGCTCACTTCCCCCCTGTGCCAACTCCTAGCCCTGTAGGTGAACTCTGCAAAAAAATCGATAAAAATCGGTAAAATCGACATCGATCGATAACGAAAAGTGGACTGTGACAACCGCCGGGGCCCGAAGTGTATGTGTGCCAAGTTTGGTCCGGATACGGCGGAGCCGGGTAAGCCAGCTAGTAATCTCTAAATAAATTGTTTCGCAGATAAAGAAGATAGATTCAAAGTAAGCCAGCGACAGGCTCTACACACCGGATCAAAACCGTGAACGCACAATAGTCAGCAAGTTTACGACATTCTAGTAATGAACCAAAATTATCCATCTTTCTTTTGAATTTCGCCACTTCTGCTCTTCTGCTTCTCACTTCTCTATTTTTTGTAAAATCCAAGAGGAGGATTATGTAACTTAGCATTATCTTTTTGATCGCTACACACTGGTGATTTGAAGGTAGCGTCTACCCAAAACTTTGTTTTGATGTTTTCACATTCTTAGTCCTTTCCGTAGCCCTGATTTTGTTATAAGGTGCAAGCTATGTGATATCTTCGAAATTTCCCTTTGGAGACCTTTATTCTCGGTACCTGTTTCGTCGTATGCGAAAAGCTAACACATTATGAGTCTCTACTGTGCGATACATGTCAGAACGCAGGAAGCAACCATGAATGGGCGGGGCGGAATAAAAGAGGCGGAGCGGAATGGGGATTTTCCGTGTTGCAGGATCTCTTACTCCTTTTCTTCTAGGGCCTGCTTCTAGATTATATAGTAATTTGAATATCGCCCCTAAAGTTGAGGGACGAAAAGCATTAGAATATTCAGTTTTTCTCTGAATTTTTCAAAGAAGTTCTCCTGATCAGAACAAAGGCGTAACACTATCCGCCAACCTGATGTTTACATTCGTGTTCTCCTGTTATTTTCCAACAAACCAATTCCGTTAACGCCTCCCACATGGTGTACCGTACAAGTTCTTAGGAAAGTAAACAGAGACACACATCATTACGGTCGTTGAGGTCAGAGGGAAAAAACTCAGGCAACGTGTATTCGTGGCGCCTGCGAACGATCCTAGAGCTCGCCTACTGTAAAGCATTTCTGCGTGAATGTCCTTTTTTCTAATAGACGTGCATTTTTGCAGAACTTTACAACAATTTACACTGTTTATACGGGCCATTGTGAGGAAAAGCTAAATTTTATTGTCATCGTCTCGTACTCAGCAATGAGTTTATATGATCGTCATAGAGACGTTTTTTTCGAGATTTGCACTTGCATAAAGGTACCATTTTGCTGAGAGGAATATAAAGCTTTGCATAACTTGATTTATATAGTGTATATGACCAGAAAAGGGCAAACCTGGAATGAATCCCATATTTTTTATGAACAAAAAATAGAAGATCAGATGAAGTACTGAATATGCGACACAAAATAAAATTTTTTTAAAGGAGGTACATTGAAAATGGCAACTAAACAATTTTTTGATCTAATAAGGCTGCGTCCAGAGTTCTTCGTGACAGCGCAATCGATAAATCTGTACAGGGCCCGTCCACGCTGGTACGGCATCAGCACGACGCTGGCACAGAATCGGCTCGGGGCGACTCCAATGCGAAACTCGATCGGTTCAGATCCAACTTTTCTGACGCGATTTTCCAGTCATTTGGTCGAATATGTGACTTTAACAACTCCTTTTTTATTGGCATCCTCGATTTTAGCAAGCTGTATAAATTCAGTGCCATTTTTTCTAAGAAAATTCAGAAGACTAGGTTGTTTTCAGAAGAAGTAGTAGCATGTTACAGCTGATTTGCTCAATTTGTATGTAAATTATTGACTTTGGACATCTTATTGTTTTCTCTTGAATCTGTAATTTATGGTAGAAGCTGACTTGGTGTAGTCTTAGAGACATCATCTATCAACTGAATAATTATCTTGATTTTATGAAACCGGCATCCTTTCACAAAATGTCAAATAAAGTACGATACTCTTTTTTATCGTTGATTATCACCCGCCAAAAGGTATCTGGTAAGGTTCCGGTTATACCGCATTGTATTAGCAATGTCACTTCGTTTGATGAGCGTCATTCATCACATTCATCTCCTTTATACAGTTTTCTCATAGAACGTACATATGTTTCGCCATGCCTATATAATAAAATTTCATCTCTTTGGTAAATTTCCTTCTTTTCTACAGTTATTGAACTGCAAGTCTAGCTCAAAGGGTTGTGGAGGGGGAGGGGGTTGAAGGATTGAAGGATACCGTGATAGTTACCATATGTGAAATAGTGAATGAAAGTTAAAAGGTGAAAATAAACATTTTTATATTCAGGAATTCGTTCAGTGTCCACCTATTTCACCTTGCGGAGCATTTTCAAAGATTGCAAATCTCTCTTCCTGTACTTCCAAAGATTTTCGCAAAACTAAGCTGTAGGAGACTTAGTCTAAAATTTTTCAACGACCGAGAAAATTCTACCCCACTTTTTACAGTTGATAAAGAATTCTCATTTTTTAGGCAATTTTAGCCTTATTTATGGCTCCATATGCTACGTGACACCTGAAAGTATGTCGATGTCCAGTTCAATATCCTTATACCACTTTCAGTTTATGCATGAGGAACTTCACATTCTGATTTTAAGAAAACGGCGAGCAAGAATTGGGGAGTATTAAGAGCACGCAAATTTTGAAAAAGAAATCGAAACTGGGCGTGGCAAGGGGCGGCGACAATTTTTTGCATCGTCTGCACCAGACATCGAGCAGATCTCATCTAGTCCACCACTGCTTGATTCATTGCCCACCTATTGCACATCTTTTTCATTCCTGCACAACGTATTGTCCTACATTAATCAGCTTGAACGTGCAAATGAAACCCATCATTTTTCATCCAAACCTGGAGATTAATTACTATTTTTTTCGTCGAAGATTTTGCAAGATATCGCGCGAAAGTTTTTTGTTTCACCTTTATTTCAAAAATAATTAATGAACAGGCGCAATGCACAGGCGGTTTCAGAAAAAATTTAGAAGCGCAGGAAGATGATGGAACTGGGACTTTTCCAGCCTTTTAGGCGCTTGCTGAAGAATGCTGATCTAATTAGGCTCTCTCTTACATAACACTCTCTGGTTATTTGGGAAGGTTTCGGTTTTGAGAAGAAGAAGCACCGAGTCGGTGCTTTTTGGAAAGGCTTGTCCTTCTTGTCCCTCTGCAGTATCCTCAAAAATACCTGGTTATATTAGGTTGATGCAAAAGAAATGGCCGATTTTCCAAGCCTTTTTTCAGGGCAACTTTTCTCCATCAATACTTCTTCTTTACAATGGATGCAGTATATTATCGCGAAGCTGTTTTCAAGCTCTATCTAACGGTGCTTAAAACGGGCTCTCATCCTCATCTCTTATAAAGTTACTGAGCTCCAAATAACCGCATCCAAATTCAGAATTTCATTGCATTCACT